CACAGCCATATAGACAAAAAGCGATCTACATTAAAAATCCTCTTTCACGTGGGAATGAAAAACACTTTACAGACCTTCTTTCTTTCAAACAGGACACCAGCTACAACCATGCGAAAAGTAGCAGAAAAGGACAACTGATCTTTTCAAAAGCTCTCATTATAGAGCAATACATTGAAGTGCAGTGAGACGGATCTCCACGGATACGCCAAGAATTTCAACATTTCTCTCTTGGTTTGCTTTAAACTCGTTAAATATTCACTCGGCTGGCAGCGAAGACAGAGAGGACAGCGGCTGTGCCCTTTTCCTATGAACCTGAAAGGGTTTTTGTGCAAGTTTGGGTGGACAAATTGGATGAACTTAAATATTTGGTTGGGCGAGGTTTTGGAGTTGTAAATTTGATGGTTTATAACGTCATATGTTATCAATGGAAAAACCACTGGAGTAGAGCTAAGCGTGTGTGTGAAACAACTTTCTGATTGGTTCTTTTTGTACGTTTTATTCAAACACTGATTCTGAAAGGCCTAATCCTACAGTACCAGTCAACCTCTAAGAAACACATGTACGGCTTCACAGGAGACCTCAGACAGATAAAGGATCATTCTGTGAGCGTGAAAAAGCAAATCTCCAAAGTCACAGTATACGACTCATGAGATGTTAGAGTATCCATACATGCGTACAAAGCTACATCATGTAGTGAACGTGTGAACCACCTGCTGTGGCCGGGACTTGATCCCATGACCTCTTGCTCTTGCTGCAAATGCTAAAAAAGCAATTGACCAAGTATCTATTTGACAGAAGACGTCACTAAATATCGATACATACCCTGGAACGTAGAGGCATGGCCCAAGATGAGATATTTGAGTTCGAAGCTATAGGAGAGAATGGTGTGGTGTGTGTCTCTCTGGGCGGCGGCGTAGTAGCTCTCCTCCATCTTACGGGTGCAACATGTGGGACCCTGGTGTTTGCAGATGAGAAGATCTGCATCTGTGGAGGATCAATATAGTATTTATTGTAATACATGTATTACATCTATTACATAGTATTTACAGTATGTGATCATACAAATGTTTGATTTGTTTTTACCCTACCTATTTTTGACGTTTCAGTTATTGTTTTGCATATCGTAAATTCATTTAGATTTAAAATTTGACTTTTTTGCTGTTTAATGGGAGGCACCGACTACAACTAAACATTTTGATCATTAACCGTCAAGTTGATTTGGAGTGGATTTTTTTATATTTTGTGTAATTTATTTTATATAATTTGTACACATATTGTAAATACCAAAAAAAATAATAATAATATGAGTTTCAAATTAATTATTAGAAAAAAAAAGTACAACATCCCTTATTTTAACAGTTTTTATAATTTTACTACAGAAATAAAAAAAAAAAAATCTGGATGAACCTACGTTTATAAGTTCTGGAAAAAGTGACCTTCAGCACTTAAAAATTAAGACAATATAATTAAAATTATATGATCTATAAGTTATGTCAACATTATGTTTTTACATTGCTTTAACTCATCAAAAATAAGTTAAAATGATTTTATAAAAAATAAAAAAGTAGAAAACTGCTTAAGTTGGTTTAATGTAATTTAAGTTGAAATAAATTAAACATTCAAGTTGATTGTACATAAAAATATAAAGCTGCAATTTTTGTACAATAAAGGGACACAACAAAAAGTTACAGATTTAATTATTTAAAAATACAATCATGTTTCTAAGCATTTTTAATGATATGATATTAACTTTAACTTGATATTATGATATTAAAATAATCATATGGGACAGAAATAACACATGGTTGTACAGCAAGAGAGTGCATGTAAAGAGAGCACATGTGATCAAGACAGACGATATCTGCTCTGTCAGTCACCCTGCCCTATCCTATGTAACCAATTTTACACCAATGGGACCCCATAAGCCACGCATTAGAACAGCTGACTGTGATCACCGACATTCTGCTGACCTCTCTCACCTCCTCTGCGCTTAATACGCATGGAGCAATGCCTCAAAACGTAGCTACGTACTAAGAATAAAACTTGGTTTTGTAATGGTCATACTTTTCTAATGTATCCTTTCCATAAACAAGAACTTGAGAAACTAAATATGCCCAGCTTACAATTTCGTAGGAACACCCAAACATTTTTGAGATGCCTTCTATTCAGGAATGCGTTTTTGATTTAACACGAAATGTGGAACATGAAAAACATTTGACAGTGTATCCTACACTCCTAATTTTGTCAACACCACTGACATTTCTGATTTATGCTCCGTAATCACGACTTATTTGTTAGACAACACTTTACATTACAGTTCACACAATGTAGCCAGTAGATAAACTAAGATAGCCTAATATACAAATTAATATGCAAATATTTTTGGATATTTAATTAATTCACACATAACTGTCTGACTTGCTATAACTCATCTAAACAATATATTTTAGGCTATTATGATGACCTCATATAATAAAAATATGAATACACTTTTAAAAATTTGACAAGACTATTTAAATTAAGTGGAAAAGGCGACTAAATGGTCAAAAAAGGGAAAAATGATCACTCACAATATTTATAAGAAAATTATAAAGATGATATAGGCCTGAAAGTTTAAAGGTATACCTCACCCAAAAATGAAAGTTCTGTCATCATTTACTCACGTACAATTGCTCTAAACCTTTAGGAATTTATTTCTTCTGCTGAATACAAAAGAATATATTTTGAAGAATTTGGTAAACAAATGACGGCTTACCTTGGTTTCATTACCAACATTCTTCAAAATATATTCTTTTGTGTTCAACAGAGGAAAGAAACTCATGATTTTTTTTTTTGTGAGACATCTTTTATTTTATTTTAAAGAAACTCATGATGACAGATTTTTTGTGTGTGTGTGTGTGTGTTAATATCCCTTCAAGTCACGTGCATTTTATTAAAATAATTGTCAGTTTGGGGAAAGCTGTTACATGTATTTTTAACGTTAGAAATGTATTCAATATTTTATTAATTAGGCTTACTTTTTTTACTTTGCGAAAACAATGTTTTATTGTTGTTCATTTTTTAGGTTATTGTTTTTACGATTCGTTATCGTGTTACGGTTCAAATTTAGGCAAAAATTAGCCGGGAGCACATATTGGTCATCGTGTGTTCAGTTGGCGGTATTTTTTTCTTAGTAAGTACCGTTAAACTAAATAAAGAAAGCCAGTTGGGAATAATGTGGAGAATATGTTTTATGTGTTATGTTATATTAGATACCGCGCGCTTCCCACAGTAACAGTAACGTTATATATAAACGAACCTGTTGCTGCGGTCTCCGGAACCCATCTTAATGAACCGACTTGGCGCAGCTGGAAAGCGGTTTTAACCTCATGACAGCTCTGCCCACTGGCGCAGTGAATTCTCCATACTAACACACTGGAGAGCAGGATCCACAACCAACATACACGCGGTGCTGTCCTGCGGAGCATTGCACCATCTCAGTCCAGAGAAAGCCCTCTGAGCCAATGTGTGAGAAAGAGGGGAGGAAAACCGTCAAAATATTATCCGGAAGAGATGCACATTTAAAGCCGCTTAATGAAGTAACGTTATCCAGGGAGAAAATTTTCCAATCTGGTGGATCGCAGGGGCTTCACATGCTGCGTGTTTTGACAGACTAGTCTGGAGACATGTGAGGAAGGGCCCTGTGTGTGTGTGTGTGTGTGTGTGTGTGTGTGTGCGCGCCCAATGTGGAGAAAGAGACTTCTGACTGCCAGTTTTGTGCGCCCAACACCCATTGGACCCCCCTCCCTTTGGCATAGATAGATAGATAGATAGATAGATAGATAGATAGATAGATAGATAGATAGATAGATAGATAGATAGATAGATAGATAGATAGATAGATAGATAGATAGATAGATAGATAGATAGATAGATAGATAGATAGATAGATAGATAGATAGATAGATATTGTTGGTTTAACTTAAAGAAATTAAGTAACCTGCTGCCTTAAAAATTTAAGTTCAATGAAATGGAAAAATTGAGTTAATACAATGAAGGTTATTGATTTAATCATCAGAAACTACATACATTTTTTAAGTTGATTTGACAAAATAAATAATGCTGTGATTACAAATCATGAAAATATTTTTCTCAGTGTAGATAGATAGATAGATAGATAGATAGATAGATAGATAGATAGATAGATAGATAGATAGATAGATAGATAGATAGATAGATAGAGATAGATAGGCCTAGATAGATAGAAAAGAAACGGCAATAAATAAAGAAGAAAGAAGAAACAAATACTTTAGAAATATGCACTTCACACATTTAGCTCACACCGTACAAAATGTTTGAAAAATCCTGATATAAATTATTAAAAAGGGCCGTCTGGAAATGGGTGAAATTAGTTTTTGCACAACCACTCGGATGTTGTCAACTGAATATAAACTATTCTCCACAAAGGCAAATTAATAACTCTCAGACACACACACACATACACACAAGAATGTAGCCCATTTAAAAGTCATATTCACAATAATAGCAGCTTAGTTACAGTTGACAAATCAATGATTACATTAACTATCATTTTCAGAAACTGGATATTTGAAAATCATGTTGCAAAGTTCAACTGTTATTTAGATTCTAATGATTTAGTTATATCCTACTTGCAAAAATAATTTATACAACTCTAACTATGCACACAGATAATAAAATACTACAAACTCAAACTGTATTACTATATATATTACTATTATATGGTATATGGTTTATAGTGGTTTTAATTATTGTTTTGTTGTGTATTTATGTTGATTGTTTGAGAAGAAAGAAAGAAAGAAAGAAAGAAAGAAAGAAAGAAAGAAAGAAAGAAAGAAAGAAAGAAAGAAACTCCCGTCTCAAGGGTTATAGGTTAGCCTATATCATGTTGAGTCGCTAGAAGGCGCGATGTTGTCATTTCACAAAACATATTTCATGAAGATATCATTAAACCGCTTCTCCACTAGATGGCAATACAAAGCAAAATAGTGTTTTTAGCCCCCGCACATGGCGAGCAGAAGGAATAAAAAACATGTCATGTTATGCAGTTCACACTTTGGAGTGACAGCCAAACGTCTATAAAGAAACATGGCCGGGAACATAAAAGATAAAGAAGCATATCAACGCCTGAACTTCCTCTATCAGGTTAGTTAACGATAGATTTTCTATCAGATCTATTTGATTTCTTTATTTCCAAAGATTCTCATGAGGTTTTCTCGACCCCAGGCTGCTCACTGCGTTTTGGCTCAAAATCCAGAGAATATTGAACTAGCAAGATTTTACTGCTTCACTCAGAAGACCATCTCTAAACGACTGGTGCTCAGACAGTGAGTAGTTTCTCATAAATAGGATTATTATTTATCATAAACAAATATCAGTGATGGAGCTTCAACAAAGTATGATGCTTTTTCCTGACAGAGATCCATCAGTGAAGAGAACCATTTGCAAGAAATGTTGCACTTTACTGGTACCAGGTGTCACATCCACTGTAAGACAAAAAAGTAAGTCTATCTATCTATCTATCTATCTATCTATCTATCTATCTATCTATCTATCTATCTATCTATCTATCTATCATAACAATGATATTAAATCTTAATATTGAAGGAGGACCAAGACGACAACGTAAGACTATTGTACGGTGTTTAAGTTGTGGACTGACCAAACGGTTCCCAAACAACCCTAAATATAAATTGTGGGTGGATCAACCGGAGGCTCAGCTAGAAAACCAGACATCACAAGGTAAAGATGATCATCGGCTGTCTTTGAACTATTTTTTTGTCTTTAGTTTTAAATAAAAGTGTGTGATTTCCAAGAATGTCCAACTGGTCCAACCTAGAAAGACCTTCATTAGCATTTCTTTTCATCTCTTGGCTGACTCACTCACTCACTCAATATATATATATATATATATATATATATATAATTTTAGCCAATCACCAGAGCTGTTTGTGACACAAAAATCCATTTTGATGTCTAGTTTATTTGTTGCTAAGAAAAAGTATAACAAATTGGTGTGAAAAATAGCATTTCTGAGTATCTTTTCATAGCAGGGAAAGCTGAGCTAACATTCTAATCAGTTATAATGAAATAATATCCTAATCTACACATGGATTTCTCGGCAACGTCATCACAGCTTGCTAGCGCACATATCCGGGAGGCAGAAAAAAGACGTGTTTCTTCGTGTAGTAGGCTAGTAGGAAAGTGGTGGTGTCTGTAAAATGCCAACAAGTGTAACGTAACTTATATAAAAGCAAATTCGGGCTTTCCAGTAGATGCTGCACTGCTGTATTACATTACTAGCCTTACATAATACATACATATATTACAGTAACACTGCAAAATTAAAGACAGACAAACAGATCCAACTAAAATCACATTTTTTTGAGTCAGCAGTTATATACAAACAATAAGGAAAGCTTCTGTTGCAGTAGCGGACCAGCTCACCAATCTGTTTTTTTGCCTCTGGTATGTTGGTAAACCGGAAACCCATGTATTGGGCTAGAAAGAGTTGTCATGAAACAGCTTCACAAACCCATCTTTTCAACCTCATAGTATCATTATTTCTGTGGTGCAATAGTTAAAATGATTATATAAGTACTTGGATTCATATTTAAAGATCAAAATCAGCTTTTGATAGAAATTTGGTACTTAAAATAGTGATTACATTGTTTCGCCACTAAGTGGCGACAAGTGACTGTTAAAAAATGCATTTGCTATTGAATCGTTTATTCGAGAAAGTAGTATTGTACGATGCTTCTGAAATAATAATCTAAAAAATGTGATCATTTGTTTTTGAAAATATGACATCTTATACAACATCAAGACTATGGTTTAACTTTTCCCTATGGTCTAGTCCCAGATAGCAGACTGACATTGAATCAACGTGGAAATATGACATCGAAACAACGTTGATCTGACATTGTTTTGCTCATCGAATTAACGTTGAACCAACGTCAGACGCGTCATTCTTTCAAAACTAACGGAAAATCAACTTGAAATCAACGCGTTGTTTCAACGTTATGAAAGCAAACCAATTTTCGATTTCATTTAGCTTTGAAGAATGCCGCGTCTGACGTTGGTTCAACGTTAATTCGATGAGCAAATCAACGTTGTTTCAATGTCATGAGAGACGTCGTTTCCACGTTGATTCAATGTCAGTTTGCTATCTGGGGTGTTAAAAATGACAAAACATGGAAAGCTAAGTGGCTAACCTGTGAGCTAAAAAAGAACAACAAATGCTACAAACAAAACAAATTCCTTTTTGTAGCAGTAAAAGCTAAAATAACATTCTAATCGTAATCTATCGAGTTAATCTATTACTGGTATGGTACAATAACAGCTAATCAGTTAGAAGTAACAAAGCTAATCAGCTAACCAGTTAGCTAACAAACAACAAAACAATGTTATGTTAAGCTAACAAGCTAATCGGTTATGTTAAGCTAACAAGCAAATATTCCCAGTTGTAACAGTGAAATAAATACGTAAGTGAACATTCCGCCAAAGTGAGAGCGAACATGTTCAGTTCGAAGGGCACTGTAAAAGTCGTAGGGAAGTAGGAAACATCGATACAGTTCACAGGAAGAGGAGAGTGAAAATCACCCAACTGTCATCGCGCATGGACTTTTAACACCGTGTTCAGGCAGTAGAGCAGTCAATACTGCTTAGAGACCCTGTCGATCGGGACGCACCTTTTGAGAGCAGGCTAATCAGCTAGTGATGTTTATATCTAGCATGTTAATCTGGTATTGGTATGCTAAAAATCGTAATCGACTAATCAGTAATTGTATGTTACATACAATTAAATATTCCATGTGACTACAGTGGCTCAAGTATAAGTTTTATCAAGTGACGAGAATACTTTTTGTGTGAAAAAACAAACAAAAATAACGACTTTATTCGACTATTCCTTTTCGTCCTTGTAGGCCTGAGACGAGAGTTCAAGAGATTTCCACGACGCATGCGCGAGAACTGCTTTCTTCTAGAGCCCGACCGATAAAGGATTTTGAAGGCCGATACCAATATAAATATTTTTGGGTTTTAAAATTCGATATATCTTATTTATTTATTAAATATTTTTTTAATTTTATTTATTTATTTTTTTAAACTGGACATGATAGTCACAAATTTTGTCATGCTTATTTGAGTTAACACTAGAAGTGCCAGAATTCCAAAACTACTAGAACGGCCACAAACGGTCATTTTGACCGTTAGATTCAAAACAGTGTTGATGAATAATTTTCATAATTATTTTTGTCAACCACATTTTTTCAAAGACGAAAACGAGATGATAACTAAATAAAAACTAGGTTTGAATGACAAAAACTATGACGAAAATGTTAGATAGTGACGATTTGCGACGCGGTCAAGGCTAATAATAATAATAGGACTCGCAGAACTGAACAGCCAATGCAGCAAAACAAACAGCGCAGGACAGGGCAGCAGAGCTCACCATCATCCGACATGAATGGAACATCTGGATCGGCCGTGTCTGATGATAGCAGCCGTCTCTTTTTCCTTGATGTGACTCTGAATCACTCTCTGATGAGGAGGAAATGTTAACTTGCACCCAGGAAACGTCGCTGTCACTTTCCACCTCCGATTGTTCCCCTGCATCCGAATTATAGATGTAGTCCGGTTTTATTTGCTTATTTCTGATCAACAACTAATGTAGAAATTATTATATAGCAAACACTGCTACAGAGGTGACGGACGGACCATTCTGTTGACAGTTGAGAGAGAACACGATCAACCGCGGGATATAACAAAAAAATACCGCAAAATTCAGTGCGGTCAATATGACCGTCTATGGCCGAAATAGGTAAATATGTTCATTTTTTTTGTTTTGCCTTACGTTTACGTAACTTAATTTATATGAAAAGCATTTTAAATGAAAATACAGACAATTTTAGGAAAAGTCAGGTACCAGCAGGATTTTATTATTTTTTTTCAACAAAGTTATTGTAGATATAAAATTCAAAACGGTCAAAATGACCGTTGTGGCCGTTCTAGTGTTAAGAAGAGAACTGATGGGGATGATCTTTTAATTGTTATTCAAGCAATGTATGTATCGTGAACAATTCAACGAGTGTTGCCAACAGGAACGGTGTAGAGTGCCCTCTAGTGGACAAACTATACAACTCCAACACTCATGACATGGTTCAAGCGTGTTTCGTCTGTTTTTATGTTATTTTTATGTATTCCATTCATTCAAATATTCATTTATCGGCCATTATAACTGCCGATTCCGATAGTTTGGAAAATGCCTAATATCGGTCTGCCGATATATCGGTCTGGCTCTACTACTTCTTGTTCAGTTCTCGCGCATGCGCCGTGGAAATCTCTTGAACTCTCAGGGATGCATGGGGGTGTGTAATTAATGACTTAATTTTCATTTTTGGGTGAACTATCCCTTTAAGAGGCTGACGCATGTTAAATGAATCGGGTAACTAATTAGCTTGTGAGGAACAGAAAAAACAACAAATGTTTATTTGAGTATTTAAAGCTCAGACAACATGCATCATAAGCAATTTTGTACAAATGACACCATCGATTATTATTATTATTTTTTTAGCATTTTATCTTCTAATATCGCAAAGAAACACCATACACTCTCTTTATTATGTCTACAGTTGCTGGTCCTTCATCTAAGTCCACAACCCAAGGGAAGAAATCGGATATTTCAAGTGGTTCAGCATCCACAACCGCGAAGAATTCGTCTGCAGCTCAAACAAATCTGACTAATCCTTCATGACACTCACTTTGAGACTGAACACAAACATTAATATGGCTTGTTTAACAAAGTGGATGTTTTTTTTAAATTAGAATTATAGTTTTTTTTTTTTTTTAGTTTTGCAGCCAGTTTTTACTTTCCTGACAGAATGGGCTAAATGGTTTTCCTTCCACATTGAATGGATGTTTTGAATTGCAATTAAGTATTCATACTGTAAAAGGCTGATTTACATTGCTAATGACTTTTTCCTGTACTTTTTTTTTTTTTGCATCTTAAATATAATTGAACTCTGCACGACTTCCTTCTAAAGAAGCGTTTGCTTTTATCACCGGGAGCGTTTGGAAACCTGGTGGGAATTCAGTTGACTACATAAAAATGTATTGATCTACTGTTACTAAATTATCTCTTTATCCGAATCATCCTGTGGATATTTCAATTAGACACGCTCTGCATACTTGGTAACTTTAAAGCTTTTCAGAACATTTTGAACAATTTTTTTTACATTTTTTTTTTCATCGAACTTCTAAAGCCTTAGTGATTTTTCCAGTCAGTTGATCTCTGATAGTCTCTTGATCTCAGGGTCGCACATATATCCCATGCTGGGCTTAAAGGTTTTGATATTTGAAGTTTCTGATGGGAAAAAAAGCCTTCTCTTCGCACCGCGCGCAATGCGTGTTCATGAATTATTCAAATTTGCGAGCACGACCTCTCCATGTATCATGCTTCAAATCTTGGATGCTCAATTCCCGTTGCATATTCATGATATCCATCACCCTGGCGATAATGTATAAGTGATATAAAGATATTTACACATGTGAGTGTAATTCAGTCGGTGCTGATGTTGTTAATTGGATGGGATATGGATCTTGTCTAAACGCATTACAACAGCGCGGTCTGGAGGATAATGCATCTATGGGATGTCAATACGGCAAACACGGAAAGTACCACCATGAGGCTTCATCTAAGCCAAAGAATACCTCCCACTTCCTCGAATTAGAGAACCGAATCAATTGCCCTGAAGGCCAGAACGAGATGCATAGGAAGACAGGATTTAATTCAATTTGCATCACATAATGTCAGTGGGAGTGCATTAGAAATTAAAATCGTGTGGTTGAGGGATTGTGCTAAATGGATAAGTCCAGAGGCCCGCTGTATGGAAAAGCATCAGAGGTCAAAGAAAGGTCAAAAAGGTCTAGATGAAGTGTGTGGTTTACTACGCAGTACATTCTCATTCCCGATCATTATCATTAAAAAAAAATAATAATAATATTTCTGATTTGGATTTTGGCTAGTATGGAAGCTTGTTTCCGCCACTGAATATAAAAATAAAATAAATAATTGTGGCTTTTTATCTCACAATTCTGACCTTTTTTTCTCACAATTGCGAGTTTATATCTCACAATTCTGATAAAAAGTCAGAATTGCGTGATATAAAGTCGCAATTGCGTGTTATAAAGTCAGAAATGTGAGATATAAAGTCAGAATTGCGAGATATAAAGTCATAATTGCAAGATATAGTCAGAATTGGGAGATATAAAGTCAGAATTGCGAATTCATATCTCTCAATTCTAACTTTTTTTCTCACAATTGCGAGTTTACATCTTGCAATTCTGACTATATCTCGCAATTGCGACTTTAAATCACGCAATTCAGACTTTATATCTCGCAATTGCGACTTTATATCATGCAATTTTGACTTTATATCTTGCAATTCTGAATTTATATCTCGCAATTGCGACTTTAAATCATGCAATTCTGACTTTATATCTCGCAATTCAGACTTTATATCTCGCAATTACGACTTTATATCATGCAATTCTGACTTTATATCTTGCAATTCTGAATTTATATCACGCAATTGCGACTTTATATCTCGCAATTCTGACTTTCCATCTCGCAATTCCTAGAAATAATATCAGAATTGCGAGAAGTAAACTCGCAATTGTGAGAAAAAAAGTCAGAATCTTGAGATAAAAATTTGCAATTACCTTTTATATTTTTCATTCTATGGTGGAAACAAGCTTCCATTGGCTAGATATGTGACCTGCATATATTTTCTTGATGCTAATGGTTTGTAGCAGCAATGGAATGTTGAATGAAAAATCCAATCGAGATGCATCCATGCTTGCACATATCGGTCAATTTACAAACGCCTCTGAATGTGCCTCACCCAACAAGACCAGATTTGTTTATAAAGAATTTTAGAAATGACTGTTATGCTAATATTAATAAACAACATTTATACTGCAGCACATTTGTGATATTCCCAGTAAACACCAGTAATGCCACTGGTGCCCCCCCTGCAGGGTGCATATTGCCAATATATACTGTTGGTGCATATATTTTTCATAAGCTGTGAAATTACCTGACTCGTGCTGGCTGTTCCTCTGTGCTATGACATTTATTTTGGGTCTGCCATGTTCCATCTGAGGGAAAACAAAATCATTTCTGTGTTGTCAGAAATATAATGCATGCCCAATAGCTCCTTTTTCTTGATATTGTTCTTGGCAGGACTGGGAATTGGACAAAAAACAAGAATATTGGAGCAAAAAGAAATATCTGTCCACAAATATTGCAGTTACCCGAGGGAAACATTGTGGTATTGTAATTAGACTGTACATACATACATTTGAAATGTTAAAATTGTTACACTGCAGTTTATTCTGGCCAAGAACCATACAATTTAGCAGGAAGAGGGCTGATATTTCTGTCACGTAACGTTACTGCTCTGAGACATAAAGGTTGAGGATCCAAATGCAGTGTTTGTAGAACAGGGTAATGCAAACTACAGACAATGTCAAACTGTGATGTTACATTATGACACTGAAGCTTTAAAGCGCTTATCAAGTAGGCTACGTAGCACAATTTCTCATGAAGCTCCATGTCGGCGTACGTTTTGTTTTCAGAGAGACACTTGATCAACGAAAAGCGGCGCATCGATCGAAAAGCTATGCATTTTCCCCATAGACTTTTGGAAAATCGTAAAAAATAAGGTCTGTGTTCAACAAAGAGTTGTGACCCTTACACGTTTTGTCTAGCAAGATAATCTTTACAAGTTAATCCAAAATTTTTACATTTTGAAGCCCATATAAAGTTTTTTAAAAACACAAGCAGACACAAAGATTAAAAAAACACAAGCAGGTTATAACTGTGTGTTTTTTGTCATAGATCAAAATGTGAAAATATTTAGAGGCTTTGTTCACCACAGACCTTAGAGTACCGAAGTCACGACGTCACTCTGTAGGCCAAACGTGGTGTGAGTTAGCATTTTAGCACTCCCGGTTCCCTCGCTCTAAAGCCTATGGGATTTTTTAATGGGTTTTTGCTAAAACACCTGAAATAAGGTTTGTGGTGAACACAAAGCCTCAAAATATTTTCACGTTTTGATCTATGACATAAAACACACAGTTATAACCTGCTTGTGTTTTTTTTTAAATCTTTATATAGGCTTCAAAATGTCTAAATTTTTGATTAACTTGTAAACATTACCTTGACAGACAAACCGTGTAAGGGTCACAACTCTTTGTTAAACACAGATCTTATTTTTTTTGCGATTTTCCAAAAGTATATGGGGAAAATGCATAGCTTTTCGTTTGAGGGAGCCCATGCGCAGTAAACTTCGTACTGTAGTTGTAGTAGTGACGTCATCACTTTGGCACTCTATTCTCTTCCAACGCGCGATGGGTTGAGGGCAATATCAGCCGTTAGAGTGTGCACGGATCTGCGCTTCGGATTCTGACCGGATATAGTAGACAATCCGGGTCTCTTTTCAACATACTACGATTTGGGACGTACTAATTCTATTTTCAAATACTATTTAGGACGGAAAGTAGCCTATGCGAATTGGGACGCAGTATAAGCCTCACTTTCTTTCCAGTCACGTGAATGTTTCACTTTGCGTGTCGGAATGTTTGAACCATACTGTAAATTGACATATTATCCACAAGTTTCCGAGGGGCGCTCCTGTAAAAAATAAAGTGGGTGAAACTTCCGGTGAGGCGGCGGAAGTAGCATTCCAATGGTATTTTGTGTGTTAGTTAGCGAAGAGGCTAGCTGTTTTTCTGAGAATTATTTTACTATTTAAAGACGCAAATCTTTATGAGAGATGTCGTTACGGAGCTCAGGGACAACATGTGCTGTTCGCGGTTGTATGTATAACCGGACTAAACTAATTCAGTGGCTTAAACGTGATTGTTTTGAACATAAGCCGAAAACGAAATCAGAGTGATCCTGCTAACGACTGTAACGTTAGTTTCCATCACCTCCCAAAAGACGACGAATCTTCCTGTGTACATTTGTTTAAATTCTTAATATTCTATAAACTCTATCAGCATGTGTTTGGCTGTTCGCTACTGATGTTAGACCTAAATTCAGGATCAAAGCCTGAGTGAGCTTGAATGTATTCAAGTAGCACATTCATTTATAATTTTGAATAAACTCCAAAGCACAATGACTAAGTGTGTATTTTTTATTTTAATTGTTTGTCAGCTCGCACAACTGTCTGCCACCATGCCTTGATGAGTATTGATTATTAAAAATTTTATTATAATACTCCCAACCAAGTAACTGCGGAGGGTAAAGGTACTGTTATTTCACCCTTTTTAATTTCGTTGAGGTTGTGTTCCCACATCGTTAGTTAGTTTGGATCGCTATAACTTGAATGACTTTCAATTGTTGAATGAACGAGTGTGAAGTATGTCAAGTCGCGCTTTGTTTACTTCGAACTGGAAGACACGCCCACTTTTGACGCAAGGCCTCATTGGGTGTAGGAAACTTGTGGATACCCAAAAATTATTCATATAGTGGACTAAAAATTTATAAAAAATTATCCAGATGCTTGTTTTTTCTGTAATTGCTAATGTGATTTTTATTTTTTTTTTTACACCACAGATTGAACAAAATCAAGCATTGATTGGTTCTTGGTTGACATAAATTAGCATAATAATTGTGTACTTAAATTTGCTGACAGATATTCAACCTAAATCATTTGTGAGACAGTCTACCAGAAGGAAGACCCCAGTGAAATATCTTTCATTAACTATAGCAACTAAACTGTGATAATGTGAGAAATGTTGAAGGTGTCTGAATTCATTTTGGTTTGACTGTATATGCATACATGTGTGTATGTATGTGTTTTTGCTATTTTCAAGACAATCAAGGACACCTTAGACCAAAAAATGACATCTTAGATGATATGAAATGACAGTAATAAATAAATAACCTCCTAAAAAATATATATAAATTACAAATGTATGAGCCGATTCATAATGAAGGTGCAGTTTTTCAAATCAAATGTGTAATTACAGCAAAAAAAATTTTGCATGATGCAATAGCCTATCTTCTCCGCACATCATCCCAAGTTGCATCAGCAGAATAAATAAATACTTTATAATAAATACACACAAAAAAGCCTCAACCAATTCTGTGCTTGGCAGCATTGTACCGATTTTACAGACTCAGTGTGATGTACCGAGTGTCAGTTGGCCATAAACACTTTAATAATTTACATTTATTGATAAATGATAAAAACCCAGCCAACCTTCCCCCAGCCCTCACAGAACGTTTCTGCAAATAATGTCCGTCGTGTTGGCTAGGTTGGATCCACAGCACTCCTACATATTGAACAAGAACAAGAAAAGAGCTAAAAAGATTATCCAAAACACAGCCGAGGCTGCCAACTGTGATTATCCATAAGCACTCGTAGGCAAGGGAAATTAGTCATGAGAAAAATATGATAGGAAAATGTGGCGAGAATGTATCGGAGCATGCACAGATGTGAAAGTGTCAGGCGCTAA